GGATTTTGACAGGAAATACATTAATCCTGTATATTTATTCTCCAGTAAAAAAATCACTGTTCTTGGAGATTTTTCAGGGGTTTTAAAATTATGAATTCAGTATCTTTAATAGAAAGGTATGCAAATTTCAACTTGGGTGAATTGTGGTAGCCTGTGCTTTTCAAGAAATTGGTTCATCTCATCAACTGTCAAATTCGTGTGGACAGTTATTTACAATACCCCCTTACTGTCTTTTTGGTGTCTGTGGAGTCTATAATGATAGCTTTATTTCATTCCTAATATTTCTATTTTTTAAATCTGTCTTGCTAGAGGTTAACCAATGCGATTTTTACGTTTTCATTTCTTTGTTCACCACCTCGTCCTGCCTCCTGCAGCAGACCTGCTGGCTGCCTTCCCAGGATTCTTTCTCCTCTTCCTTTCTCACGGAACCTCCATCCCAATCACAGTGGCCACGTGTCCCTGCGTGCCTGCAGTCGGGACGGATCTGACACAGTAACAGCTGACCACGTGTGACGGCAGACAGGTCCGGAAGCCATGGGTTGGTTCCTCAACTGGCCCGTCCTTGGCCCTTCCCCCTCCTACCTGTGGCTCCCACCTTGGGGTGCAAAGGCTCCTAGGGGAGCTAAGGGGGGCAGCTGGGGAGACAGAAGTGACTCCCATCCCTGAGGGCCCCAAGGAGCCACTGCACCACCTTAGACTGAACGCAAGTCCACTAAACCCCTCCTTGTTTAAAGATCCTGTTTGAGCGCCTGCCCCATGTAGTCCTGCTGCCTGACTCGCACTGCCTGTCTTGCCACAGAGCGCCCTTCGCGGCTCTTCGGCAGGACCAGAGTGTAATAAGCACCACAAGCCCTGCCCTTAGTACAGTAACTGAACAGATAGACATGTTTCCCCAGCACTTAGGAAAAATGTCTCCTAATTTCTAGTGTTAATGTAAAGTGAAACTCGTTCATTTGTAGGTAAACTTTATCCCCACACCCACACAAAGCTTACATGATTTTTTTCAATGTTCTAACTAGACTATTAATTTTTAACCAGTGTGCCACAAGAATTTTTAAAACATGCAATACCTGACTGTTTAGTCAGGGGCAGTGACCTCTTTTCCCTTCGATGGCCCAATAAAAAAAAAAAAGGCTACACCCAACACAAGAACTGCCTGGTGTGAATGAATCAAAAGTACACGTTTGTGGTTTGTTTTTTTTTTTGGCCACAGAAGTTGAGTAGTTTGTGTGTACCAAGAGATGAAAAAGGTTGAAAATCACTCATCTACACCATTGTAGTGAAACTGCAGATACGGCCATTAAAAAAAAAAACACACCAAAAAACGCCGCTTCACTTAATTTAGGTTGTAAATTCTGGAAATTTATTTTTTGAACTGTGTGAAATATAGCATATGTACAGAAGAAAAAGTGTATAAAATGAATGCGTGGAGACTAAAGTAGATTCCAGTCACTGGAGCCAAGAAAACCATCGTCAGCAGCCAGCCCCGCAGGCCCTCCCGGGAGCCGGGAGCTGCCGCAGGCCTGATGGGGCGGCGGCCGCCCTCCTTTTCTGCCGACCTCGCCATCTGGGTGTGTCCCTGGAGTCTATTGTTTTCTTCTGCCTGTTTTGGAACATCATACAAGTGGCTCATACTCATGTTTCTTCTGTGACTTGCTTCTTTCGAGATCTGCCTGTTACGCTGCACGTGGCTCCAACTCACTTCACTGCCACAGAGCATGACACAAGGAATCGAACTTACTACCAGGCCCCGTGCTGTGCAGCTGGGGGCGAGGGGGGGCGGTTGCTGGTTATTCTTTAAGGCACTGGGTTTTCTCCCCTGCTTTGTAATTCTGTTTGCGCACGTCCTGCGTGGCGGCATTTGTTCTTCACACTCCCTGTAGGCAGTGCTCCCTGGCGGCGCCCGGGCCCGCACGTGTGGCAGCGAGCCTCCCACCCGGTCTCTGGGCTCTCTCCCTGTGGGTCTCCTGACCCCAGGCCCAGTGCTGCTGCCGAGCGCGGGTCTGGCTGCCGGTCACCCGGTGTCCAAGTCCCACGAGGCCACAGACCAGCATCCTGCTTACAACCGCACCTCCAGGAGGTGAGAGTCTCCTTTCACCCTTTATTCCTAGGAAAGGAAGTCTGGTCCCAGGCCCCAGAAACGCAGAGGCCCCTGGCCCCTGTGGGCAAGTCTGGCCCCTGTGCCCTGTGGGAAGGAGAGCGCTGGGCTTGTCCCACTGCTCACCACAGCGGCTGGCCGCCCAGCCCATCAGCCCTCACTCACAGCCGCAAGGTTCTGCTCCTTTTCTACATGAGAATTACCTTCTCAGGAGCAGCTGTGCAATTTTAACTTAAAGCACTTGATGGGATTTTGTGTGGCAGCTGGTCTCTTTGTGCACACCCCCATTCCACCTCTGTGGCCCAAGGCCCCGCACCATCCACCAAAGCCGGGTCCCTGTTCCTGGAACTCGGCACAGCGGGAAGGACATGCTGGGGACACAGGGCAGGGGCAGCAGGCTCAGGGAAACCCGGAAGGTTCTCACTCTGGAGAAGGTGAATTTCTACTTGGCCACAGGTCCCTGGAGTCTGAGTTGTGGCCGGCCAGTCACTCTGGAGAGTCAGTTCCACAGAGGAGGGTCAGAGCACACCCGGGACCTAGCCTGCACCACGTCAGACCCGAGCAAAACGGGCCACCTCCCCAAAGCAGAGTCCCTGTCCCAGGGACACCATGGCTGAGCCCTAACAGGCAAAGGCGAGAGGGCCTGCCTGGAGCCGAGCAGGGGGAGAAGGGACAGTGCCCAGGGCTGCCCCCCGGAGCAGCACAGATGGAGGCCGCCAGGGCTCAGCTTGCCTGCTCCATGGGCGCAGTCTCCTCCTCTTCTTCCCCACACTGGGAGGGATCCACAGCCCAGGTGGGAGCCTCCCCTCGCTGTCCCACAGAATCCTGCAGGCCTAACCCGGGGACTAGGGCTAGGGGACCTGGCCTAGGTTATCAGAGAACTCGCTCAGACCTTGTCTCTGTCACTCAAGTGTTCTGCAGTGACCACCGATGGCCAAAGCCTGGGCCTGGAAGCTCGGCCTCAACACGCGCAGCCCAACACCGGGCTTACTTGTATTAAACATCACCTCCGCAGCCACCCTGTCCAGGGGCCCACATCCCGGTGCCCCAAATACCCAGGAAATACCTGGTAGGTTTCTGCCACACACAAAGGTCTGCTAGTTTCTATTTCCAGAAATAAAAAATAAAGTTCACAATACATGATACATATTTACAGACACAGCAAGCCCACAGAACAGCTGCTGGCTCTGTCCGCACCAGGGTGGTTGGGGCCACACAGGAGACAAGGCGCTGACCTCGCCCCAAACGGGGTTCAGACTGATGGTGCATGGAGCCACTGCTCTGAAGGCAAACTGGGAGTGAGGGCAAGCTCAGCCCGCCCTTGTCCAAGACCATCCTCCTCCCCGGCAGGCCTGATGGGCGGGCGAGGGGACAGGGCAGGCCTCAGTCAGAGTCGCAGGCCTCCTGTCCGGTGGTGGCTCCCACTGCGGAGGCCAGGTTGTCCTCCTGGCCCTTCAGCCTCTCACCTGCAGGGACAGCAGACAGGAGGGGTGGGAAGGGCCCTGTGCCTGGGCCCCCACCCAGAAGGCAGGGAGCCTGCCTGGCCAGGCCCTGCACTTACGGATCAGCTCGGCGATGGCCCTCTGGGTCCGCTTTTCCAGCTTCTCCAGCTTCTTGGCTACGTCTCTCTTGAGGTCCCTGCAGCAGGGAGGCGGTAGAGGCCCAAGGCTGAGGGCTGGCCTGCTGTAGCCTAGGGGCGCACCTTGTCCCCAGCCCCGCAGGCATTAGGAATCGCACTCGGCTGTCTGAAGGGACGGACTGTCCTGGGAAGGAGGCCAGGGTGCTCCTGTCTCCCTTCTGCACCCCCGAGCCCTCCAGCAGCCGCCCCTCCCGGACCCAGGGAGGCCGGGACCAGCCCCGCAGACCCGCCGCACACAGGGACTGAGCCTAGGTGTGCCAGGGTGGATGGTTTCTCAGGGGTCCCCGCAGTCACCGGCAGGGAGCGGCCTGCCCGGCCCACCGTGGGTCCTGCTCCTCCTCCAGCCACTGTTCACTCCACCGCCGGGAGCCCCCAGAAGTGCACACACAGCCTAGCCTCCCTGGTTCTGGGTTTCCTGGGCCTTGGGCCCCGTGCTTTTGTTTCATCAAATTTGAACGCCTTCCTCAGTGCTGGGCTGGGCAGACTTACAGACAGAGGGACGGGCCCTGCCTGTGGCCCAAGGTAAGGCCCAGGCCACATGGCCCTCCTCAGCCCTTCCTCAGCCCAGGCTCAGGGACTCTGGGGAAGGCTGAGCTTCCTCAGTTCAAAGAGGAAACGGAGGCCGAAGGGGCGTATCTGGGACAGAAACCACCATCTTCCCCCACCCTGCAGCCCCTGCGGGCAAAGGTCAGCCTTGCTCAAAGCGGGGGTGACGGGGGGCTTTGAGGTAGGGCAGGCCTCCACCGTTTCCACTGTTTTTGAGGGTACTGCCACCCCCCGGACCAGAGCCCTCTCCCGCTCCAGGTGCCACCCCGTCACTTCTCTCTCTCCATTTCTGTCCTTCTCAGCAGTTACTTCAGACAGTAATGCCCTGTGTAGCTATGTGTCTCTGCTGTCTGTCCCCGCACTGCGTGGGTGGGCAGGCCCAGGCGGTGGCTGATGCCGGACCAGGAGTGCCCCGCCCACCCCCAGCAACACTCACCAATCAGGCTTCCGGGGCGCGAGGTTGGCCAGGTCCTAGGGAGCAAGGAGACACGTGTCAGGGCTGAGAGGCCGAGCCCCAAAGGAGGTAGGAAGGCAGGGGACAGGGTAGGGAAATGGGAGAAAGGAGAGGTGGAAGGGAGGGGGAAAGCAGGGAGGTGGAGAGGGAAAAAAGCAGCAGCAAGATGGGAAGGGAGATGAGGGCAGGTAGGGAAGGAGAAGCCACGGGAGCGGTGAGAAGGGCCCAGCCAGGCACTCACCACCTCCTCGATGATGGGCTCAGGCTTGGCGGCCTCCAGCTGCTCCTTCACCTTCTCTTCCACTAGAGGGAGCAAGAGAACAACGGAGGCCTGTTGGAGAGGCCCTGCCACTCTCCGTGGGCACACCGCAGCCACAGCAGAGGGGAAAGGGTGCAGGCAGGTCCCCAGGAGACCATGGGCTCTTGTCCCCACCGCCCCCCTCGGCCCCCAGCCGGCAGCAGGCCGCCAGCTGACTAGACAGAGCCCAGGCTGCCCCAGTCCCCGCAGCTGCGAAAGGAGAGCTGCCTGGAAGCGTCCAAAGTCTGGGTCTGTGAAGGGCCTGGAGGCCCCGCTCCTCCCAGTCTCCAGGGGCTCCTGGGCTCTGAGGGCATCCTCTGGGCCCTGGGCCAGCTGGGGCCCAGCCACTTGGAGGCGGCCTGCCCTCAGGCACGTCCCAGCTGCTGACTGTGCCATGGGCCTCCAGGCCGTCTGGCCCAGAGGGCCCTGCCCCAGCGGGTGCAGGCGCTGGGAGCACTAACACCAAACCTGGGCTCAGCGGGCCCCTTCACCCTGTCATGGCGCCCCATGTTCCCGCAGGGCCCCTGGCCCTGCCTCACCCCCTCTGGCCAGTGCTGACGCTGAGGCATGGGACCAGCTCCCCGTCCCTCTCCACTGTCCTGCTTTATTGCCCCACCCCCACCGCCACTGGTGCGACTGGACCCACCAGAGTGGGGCCCAACATACCTGGGACACACCTGGGAATTTCAGGGGCAAGGAGATGAGGAAACAGATTGGGGTGTGGCCGACTGGGTAACACTTTACTGTTTTACGAGATAATTGCATTGATTCACTTGTTACTCATCTAATTAATGATTTATAACAAAAACAAAGACTAAAAAGAGCCAGGGATCTGAGTGATAAGAAGCGCCCGAGCATCTCTGAGAGGCCACCGCTGGCCAGGCGCTCCTGGGGGCTGTGCTGCCCCCCGCCCCCGCCCCATGAGGACACCCTCGCTGTCGGTGTGCTCTGGCCCTGCCACGCCTCCACCCCAGCCAGCGGCTGCCTGCCCGCTGCTCTCTGAGTGCCTAACCAGCCCCTCATTGGGGGCTCTTGATCTGACCTGCCAGCAGTCGCCGGGCCACTCCCACTTCTCAGCCCAGAGGGGTCCCTCTGAGAGGTGGCCTCTCCCCAGCCCGGCCCCTGGAGGCCTCCCGTCAGGCTGCGCGCAGCGCAGAACAGGCACAACCAACAGGCCTCTCTCGCAGCACCCTGACTGCTGCCCCGGCCACCCGGCCGACTACTTGCGCATCTGCCAGGAGACGGTGACAGAAGGCCCCAGAGGCCCAACGCCAGGCCCGGCTGAGCCCCAGCACAGCCAGCCAGTTATTCTCTCAGAGAGGGCGACACCCCCCAGGTGGAGGCAGCTGACAGTGCCATGGGGCGCAGATGCGGAGACTCGGCCGACCCACCTGCAACTGGCTTGGCCTGGGGCACCCTTCTCCTCTTCAGGGCCTCGTCCTCCGGGACGTAGTTCCGCAGCCTGAGCTCCCTGAGAAAGCAAAGAACAAACAGAGACAGAGTAAACACGGGGCGCAGTCTCGGTCACCTCACACACGCAGGTCAGACTGTGACAAAGCCACACAAGCGGCTGACACCCCGACGCCCCTCCTCTCTGGAGATGGCCTGGCCTGGCGAAGAGGGGAGCACCAGGGGGACACAGCGTCAGCGGGCCCACGCCCCCACCCGAGCCTCAGCGCCCTCTGCCGCTCGGCAGCCAGGCTGCTGCCCTCCCGGGGCCCCACCCGCACCCAGGCGCTCGTCCGAGGCTGGGGCAGGGGGTGCCATGGCGTCCATGCTCTGTCTCCCCTGGATGAGCTCCCTTCCACAGCTAAAGGAACTCAGACCGCCCCACCCTCACCAGGTCACAGGACCACTCCTCGAAGACCAAGCTAGTGACCACCCACTGGTTCTGCAGGCCTGGCCTCAGCCTTCGTGCCCTGCAGCCACTGGCACACAGTCCTTCAGCTCCTGGCGGCAAGGGTCTGTGTGCTGGGAATGGCCTGCAAGGGCTGAGGGAACAGGCATGACAGTGCAAGGCTGGGACAGCCACGGTCCCCCTGGGCAGCCCTGAGAACGGCACAGCTCTGTCCCTGCAAGGTCCTTAAAACGCTACCAGGGCAGACCCTAAGACCGCTGAGAAGGGCGGAGCCCTGAGGGACCAGAGTCACACACTGCAACGGCCAGCAATCACCGTGACACTGTCCTCTTAGCCGACTCCCCCGGGGCAGGGCTGGCTGCACCCAGCACTCCCTTGGCCTCCCTGGCTCAGCTGCTCATCCAGCCCCAACCCACACGCAAGGCGTGCCCCAGGCGGGGCCCCTGGATGACTCCACGAGGGGGGTGCTCCTGCTTAGTAAGGCGAGACAGAGCCACTGGGTCAGACCACCCAGGCCTCTGGAGAGGCCAACGTGGCCCCCACACCTGCCAGCCAGGCAAGATTGCAACGTGGGTCCTCCTCCTTCCCCACCACCTCTTCTGGGCCCTTCCAAGGACTAGGGCCCCTAAGAAGTCCTGGGCCTCCAGAACAGCGGACACTTTCCTGACAGGAGGCCTCCCACAGTCTTGTCTACCGAACCGTCTCTCTGGGCAGGCAGGCCTTTCCAGAGGCGAGGCGGCAGGTGGCAGTGATCTGGACTCAGGGACTTCCTGGTGTGTCAGGTTCGGTCCCCTACCACCAGTACCCCCTGCCCCTTCCCCTCTGCCAGGGCCCGAGGCCACAGCCCCAGGGCTAGGCGGAGCCTTTGTGCCCTGGGGGGGAGGGTCCCAGCATGGACTTCCAAGGATGCCTGCTGCCCATGCTAAGGAGCAGGGACGCCCGCCTGTGCCCCAGCCCCTCATGCCTGCCTCAGGCTCGGTCAATGCCAGGTTGCAGCGGGGCGTGATCTTCCTTCTGGGTGGGGCAAAAAGAGGAAGAGAAACTGGGTGTGGGAAACAGAAGGGATAGGTGAAGGAGAAAAACTGTCACTCTCCAACGGGCTCCAGGGTTCTGTGAGAAATCAGTATGGAAGGAGAGTCAATGGGAACTGTCCCCAGGATGCACAGCAGCAAGTGCCCAAGCCCCTACCCCACTCTGGGAGGACACGGCTCAGGGGCACAGGGAGACCCAGAGGCAGCTGGAAAGCCACCCAGGCGCCCCCAGCAGCCCTGTGGCTCACTGTCCCCCACTCCCCCTAGAGCTGACCACTGGTCAAGCAATCAAGAACACCCGGGTCCCAGCCACTGTGGGATTGTCCCATTCCGGGCCTCAGCTTCTGCATCTGGGGAATGGGTTCGCAATAGGTTCGCAGCCTCCTGATTCACTCTGAGAGCTGATGAAGAGACAGCCTCTCACTAATGCCCCACTGACTGCCCCTCCCACCTCCACCCCCAACACCGCCAAACGCCACAGGGCAAGTCTCTGGGAGAGGTCGTGGGCCCTGGGGCTGCCGACGCCTGGCCTTCCCAGAGCAGGAGCCTGGTTCGGCCCCTCCACCCTCTGCAACAGCTGAAACCCGACAGCAGATATGGTGCGGGCAACAGTAGGTTTATAGTGGTGAGTAGGCCAAACACAGAGTTTATTCTTGTATTATTACTTATTCATTAATTATTGTATTGTTCTCTTATTATTATTTCGTATGCTTACTTATGATTTATCTTGTAGGTAAATGGCTGGTAATCCAACCCAGTGGTCCTCAGCCTTTTTGACACCGGGACCAGTTTCGCAGGTGACATGGGAAGCTCCTCTCACTCCCCGCTGCTCATGTCCTGCTGTGCGGCCTGTTCCTCACAGGCCAGGACCAGTGTGGTTGGGGGCTGGGGACCCCTGAATTAACCAGTAACCCCTGAAAGTGGGTACTTGAACCTACTTTTGCCCACCTCTGTATATTTTTTAAAAATCTGTTTCTTGGCCCCAGGGAAGCACCAAGGCAACAAGGACCTGAGAGGCTCTGGGGGAGCCTGACAGTGGACCACTTTTTCCCCTCAAAGCAGCCGTCTGTTGACAAGCAGAACCTCCTGCAATCTCATGGGGCCAAGAGGAAAAAGTCTGTTCAAGGCAGCCAAGAAGTAGGGTCCTGGCAAAGCCCCAGGCTTTCTGCTGTGACCCCCATGTGACCCCCATCCTTAGACTGACACACAGCGTGGCATCAGCAGCCGCCGGCATGGGCAGCGGGGCAACGTGAGGGGCACTGGTGCAAGGCGGCCTCTTCCTCAGTCCCGAGAGGGCGGGTCAGGGCACGCCTAGCCCAGCTGCCTGCCAGAGGCCGGAATAAATTCTCTCTAGAGGAAAACCCATTAGCCAGAACCTCCAATTATCTCTAGAACTTCTCACACCCAATATCCAGGATTCAATCAAAGCCATGAGAAAGAAGAAAGACAACAGAAATGCACTCATGGGAGATCCAGATATTGCAATGATCAAAAATGAAATGTAAAATAACTGAAATAAATAAAAATTGAGGACAGTAAACCACAAGATGGGGAATTTCAGCAGGGAATCTGAAACTATAAAAATCAGCTGGGAATTCTATAACAGAAAATATAACCAACGTTAAGAACTCAGTAAGTGGGTTTAAAAGCAGTTTGGACGCAGGTGACGAAAGGATTCGTGAACTGTGAGATAGGCCAGAGACTTGTCCAGACTGAGGCACAGAGGGAGAAAAGTTAGAAAAGACAGAAAAGAGCGTAAGAGTCACATGCAACAAGATAAAGAGATCTAACATACACGTAATTAGAGTTCCCAAAACAACAGTTAAAGAGATAATAATGACTGAAAGTTGTTCTATAAAATTTTATCAATGAAAAACATCAGGCCATAGATTAAAGCAACACTACAAACTCCAAAAAAAAAAAAAAAAAAAAAAAAAAAGGCATCCCTGGGCAAACCATTGTCCAACTACTGAACACCAGAGACTGAGAAATTCTTAAAGCAGACCAACACCCGACCAACAAAGTAGAAACTAAGACTGACAGCTGACTTTTCAGCAGAGACAATGGAACCACAAATCTAGTTAAAAGGCCTTCAGTGAAAGACTTTTCCAGCCACAGAAGAGCTGGGAAAATGAATCATCAGAGGACCTGTTCTCCTTGAAACACTAAAGGGAGTGCTTCAGAGTCTAAAGGACATGATCTCAGAGGGCGGCCCAGTGGGCCCAGGGCCTTTCGGGACCCTGCCCTTTGCACCCAGGGGCCCGGACCACCAACAGCCCCTCCATGTGGGCGCCCCGGTCTGCGCAGGGCCTGGCTGCCTCCCCCTCAGAGGGCACACACAGCAGCCCCCTGGTACCTGCACTCTCTTTCCCTCTGATCCGGGGCCCCCAGGGTCCCGAAAGCAAGTCTAAACTCCTTAACCCAGTGCTGGCGCCATCTGTCATTGGTCCCCATAGCCTGCTGTCCAATCAAGTGTGTCCCCTGGGTCACTGCCAGCCTTGTCTGTTACACATTTTCCTGCCCATTGGACTTCAAGAGCTAATCCAACCAGGTGTCACTGTGAGCAGCCCCTAAATGTTCCCACCCACCCCAAGGTACAACTGACCACTCCTCTCCTGGGCCCCCTCTTGGCACCCCTACCCTGTACACAGCAGAAATCATACCCCATGCATGTGGCCCCGGGTGGCTGTGTGTCTGTCCTGCACACTCTGCCCCTACAAGCTCCAAGAGACCCCCTCCAGCACCCACGGAGCCCGGGCTGGGCACACACTAGCCTCTGGCTGACCCCAGAGTTCAGAGAGGGCACTGGGGAAAAGGGCTTTCCGGGAGGCCTGAGGCCCTCTGGGGCCCCTTAAAGGCTTGGAAAGACAACTCAGGAAGCAACGCAGTGGTGTCCAGGAGTTGTAGAGAGGGCGGGACTGTGGCCGGGTCCGACTTCCGTCGTCTTTGTGGCCAAATAGCAGGGCGATGCCGGAGTTCACATCCTACTGAGTCTCCTTCTTAAAAGAGGGAAATGTCTTTTCATTTCCTCGCCTCTTCTTCCTCCCGCTATCTGGGGAGGCCTGTCAAGTGGCTGAACAGGCACGATGACCACGACAAGGTCTTCCTCACGGTCAGGTCCCTGGCCGCCAGGCATGGGCTGGCCAGGGACACGCTGGGGAAATCACGCTTGGAGGGTGTTTTTTACACCTTCTAGGTGTGCTGCTCACAGGAAGGCAGTGGACAAAGTTGGTGTTCCCTGTAAAATGTGAAGCCCAAGAGCAGAATTCTAGAATTCCAAAGTGCAATGGAGCTTCCAGATACCCCTTCTCTAGTAAATGGGTCTCAGAGAAAATCTACACTGCTCACGGAGGCTTCCTGCCCCGGGCCCCCCTGCCCACTTCGCCCCCTCGTTCATACCCCCGTCTCACCGTCGGGGGCTGCTGCCTCTCTTCTCTCCCCGCCGCTCTCAGGGCCACCCCCCCACACGCCCCCCCTGGCCGGCTCTGAGAACAAGGTCCTCCCCCCTGTGCGGTGAGGAGCTTCCTGGGCCCCTCCTTACCACACAGGCCCCCTTAGGGGCCAGAAAGAGAGGTGGCAGAG